AATGCATATGGATAAGGATTCGGATATAGTTCCAGAATACCCATTTATATTTGTTTCTGATTTTGGATGACAAACATAGAGCAATTTCGTTTTCTGGTGACGAAATTTTATTGTGTGTGGCTACTGGCTAGTTTGTTAATCAAAAGTAATGTTTTGTTTTATCACTCATGGTGTTTAGGTTCTGAAGTGCTTATACTGTGTTTTGGGTAGCTGCAGGTGTTGCATTTTAAGAGCCAAAAGGGTGGGATGACACTCCTGTAATTCATGATTGTACAATGCTCAACAAAATCACATCCAAGGATAAAATTAGGCAAAGAAGAAAAACTTTGAATATATAAATCTAATTTTATAAAACTAATGTCTAATTTTGACTTATGTAAAAGTTTACTCTAATCTAAGAATTTATTTTAAAAAAATTATATTAATCGTGTTAAATAGATTAACAAACTTAATTTTAAATATGTCAATGAATTTATTTTTAAATAAATTAATTTTATTTTAATTTACATAATCAAAAAGTTATTTACTCCGGTACTATTAAAATTCAATTCTTTTTTGTTACAAGAGATAAAAGAAACTGAACTAAAATAAAATAAAGAGAACAGGAAAACTAAAGCGAGAAAACGTTATTCATATTGCACGTGAATGAAGAATTTTAAAAAATAAATTCACATATACTAAGGGAAAATATTAATTTTAAAAGAATTAAAAAATAAAAAAGCTAATGTAAAAGACAATAAATTTTCAAAGAACTATACATATTTTTTACCGTTAAACCTAACTTTTATTTATTAAATAGATAGAGTCAATTCAAACTAGACTAAATAGACTTTTATTTATTTATGATCTGAAATATTCTTATTTCTAAACATACTTTGTGTTTAAGTTAAGTGTTTCTATTATTAATAGAAAAAATATTGATAAAAAAGAATGCAAATTAATTGATTTATTTTACTCAATAACTTAAGTTTTACATTAAATTTTAATAATTTAACAGTATTAAATTAAAAAAATTTAATATATAAATTAAGTTTGTAAAGTTTTAAAAATTTTAAAAATTATTTAATAAGCTCTTTTGTTAATTTAAATTAATGGATGATCATAAAAATATTTTTATACCTTGATTTGAATTAATAAAATAGAATATCAAATAATTTTCAAATTTTTTAAAACTTTATAAACTTAATTTATATATTAAGAATTTTTAATTCAACAGTTGAATCATTAAAATTTGATGTAGAACATAAATTATTGAACAATTCTTAATATAGTTACTTCAACCAATAACTTAGTGTATGTTAAATTTCAATAATCTAATCATTAAATTAAAAATTCTTAATATATAGATCAAGTTTACAAATTTTTAAAAAATTTGAAAATCATATAATACTTCATTATATAGATTCAAATTCAATTAATGTATAAAATCATTTTATGATTATCCGTTAATTGAAATTAATAAAATGAAATATCAAATAATTTTTAAAAAGAATTTTTAATTCAATAGTTGAATCATTGAAATTTGATGTAAAACATAAATTATTGAACAATTCTTAATATAGTTACTTCAACTAATAACTTATAGTGTATGTTAAATTTCAATAATCTAATCATTAAATTAAAAATTCTTAATATAGATCAAGTTTACAAATTTTTAGAAAATTTGAAAATCATATAATACTTCACTATATAGATTCAAATTCAATTAATGTATAAAATCATTTTATGATTATCCGTTAATTGAAATTAATAAAATAAAATATCAAATAATTTTTAAAAATTTGTATACTTGATTTATATATTAAGAATTTTTAATTTAATGATTGAATCATTAAAATTCAGTATAATAATTAATAAAAATTGTATTAATGTGATTCGAACGTTCATCATATATATAT